TCCTGTTTATGTAAATTACTTTGAATTGCCCCTCTGTATGAAATGTGCTATATAAATAAACGTGCCTTGCCTTGCCTTCAGTACTGTTGTACTATTAGCTAAGGGCTGTAAATGTAATATTTTTTGTTTTGTTGCATAGACCAATTATTTCACTACATAAGACCTTATTGTCTTACCTAATTAATGTTGTTTATTTTACTTTCAAAGTGGCAAAAGCTGTTGACTTGCATTTTATGAATTATGAAGGGTAAAAAATCTTCTTTATGTCATTCAATAATTCATTTTCTTGTCGGCTTAATCCCTTTATTAATCCGGGGTCGCCAAAGCGGAATGAACCGCCAACTTATCCAGCACGTTTTTATGCAGCGGATGCCCATCCAGTCGCAACCCATCTCTGGGAAACATCCACACACACATTCACACACACACTCATAAAATACGGACAATTTAGCCTCCCCAATTCACCTGTACCGCATGTCTTTGGACTGTGGGAGAAACCGGAGTACCCAGAGGAAACCCAGGCGAATGCAGGGAGAACATGCAAACTCCAGACCGAAACGCCAACTGAGCCGAGGCTCGAACCAGCGACCCAGCGAGATTCTTGCTGTGAGGCAACAGCACTACCTACTGCGCCACTGCTTCGCCCTTCCTTGTCCTACTGAAGAAATCTTAGAAGGACTAAAGGTGAGTAATGGCAGAAAAAAAATATATAACTACTCCCATACATTACACACACAATAAATATAGAAGAATCTGAATTTATTTACTTAGGGCTATAACTAGCTTTTGTGTGAGCTCTCATCAATCACATTTGTTTAGTTTGAAAATATGTACTACTGCCCTACAGTTGGTATTTTGGACATTTAACAACAGATATATGTGTGTTATGGGGGTCAGACGGCGGCTTATCAAAAGTCAGACATACACACAGACTTGCAGTGTGAATTTATGGCCGACAGTATCATCATCCACGTAACTTGATACTGTCTGTTTTTGCGCATGGAAATGATTTTTGCGGTTTGGCGATTTGTGGCAATCCGAGCCCTTGATGACATGGTGGCTGGATTCACACAGGTGAAGCGAGGGAGACAGAGAGAGAGAGCGTATGAAACCAGCTTGACTTCAGCAAAGCTCAAAGCTTTGTGTTTGAACCACTTTGAGTTATTTTGGGACTAGAGGAGGTTGGTTGGAGATTATTCACCTACTGTAGATTTGGTCGCTGTGCATTGATACTACATTAATTAATTAGACAGTGTTTTAGGGCTTTGTATAATACTGTTATTGGCAAGAGCTCTTGTTTTGCATGCAGGTAGTTTGTCACATGTGCTTTAGACCAGGGGTTCCCAAACTTTTTAGGCTGCAACCCTTAAAATAACAATACCAGTGACTTGCGACTGCCAAAATCTCCTTAGGTGGTTATAAATATGCAAACATTGCTCGCACAACATAATAGTTGTTTTTATTAACAACTATATTGTCATTTTTATAGCCATTTATTTATTTATTTAATATTAACCTCAACTAAAGAGACTGATGGAGTTAAAGTTTTCAGCACAAATTTATTCTTGGTTTATCTTTGGAGACTAGGGTTGCACGGTTTACAGGAAACTATGGTAGTATTGCCATACTAAGGCTCCAAAATACTGGTGGTGCCACTGTAGATGGTAAACAGTAGTACCGCCATTTAATGGTTTATCTACAACAGATAATGTTGCAGGTGGAAAAGTCACTAAAATGCTCATACATTTATGCAACAAACAATGAACCATTTTATAGGAATAGGAGCCCTTTAAGATTGCAAAACTATGTAGAATTCGCTTCAGTTCGAATGCACATCTGAATCAGTTCATTTCTGCTCCTGTCAATATGATTTATTAGCCACCACGACAATCTCTTTAAAAGTGAAATTTTGAATTACTTTGGATTGTTACCTGACAAGACTGAAAACAAAATGATTGAAAAACCCAAAATAGCAACAGGAAACATTGAAATAATGTTTAACCACTTCATGTAGCCTAATTTTAGTGGAAAAATGCTCTTTGGTAACAAATTCGAAAGTGGGGTGCAAATAATACTTTTTGGTTTTAAGGGAATTGTGAATTAAATTCAAGTAGGCCTAGTATAACATAAAATATAGCTTTTCTGACCTTTTACTTTATAATTTGAGTTATGAATTACCTCAGCTGGTAAAGTATCGTAAGATTAATAAATGGTATCTATTGGAAACTACCACTTAGAGATCAATGTTCAGTTGTGGTCTGTATTTTTTATGTATTTGATTGCAATAAATGTGTCAGAAAGTTTAACCTGGTGCTATAAAATCAATCTGCTGCAGCTGACAATATTACTGTGTTGTTAATCTAACGTAAACACACCAATCCAATGAAAAAAAATAAATTTAAAGGCTGATGGCTTTTCATTTCCATACTGTTTTTTTGTTTGTTTGTTTTTTAACTATTTTTTATCTTCTGTGGGTTATGGTTAAAACAGTGTAATTATAATAGTTTAATAAATTTTATTTGACATTTTAAATCAAGCGACCCACTGTCATTGTCCTATGACCCCCTCTTTGAATCTGTTTTAGACTTTACCTTCAGTCTGCTGTAGGTTGATGGATGTCCTGGATTCTAGTCTCTTTTCGGTTACAGATGTGTGAAACTCTTTACACACCCTCACACCATAATGTTTCCTCTTTCTGGTACATTCCATCAGTCCAGGTGCAGTGACAAACCTGAATTAAGCAATACAAAACCTGGTGAATTTAGTACAGCTAAGGTGTTATGTTGCTTTATAAAATGGTTACTACTCAAATATATAGCAAATGCAAAGTGTGTTCGTTTTTAATAGTTAAATCCTTAAATGCCATGCTTCTGTTAGAAAATTTGACAGCGTAAACATTAAAAACAATGCATTTGCTTGTACGCGCAGGCCTACCTGCTCATCTCAGCAGAAAACTCTTGAAATTAAACAATTACGAAAAATAACCATGTTTTTGACAAACATTTGTATAACCAGGTTTACTGTTGTTAAATAATGGTTAGTGTAGCAATACCATGGCTAATGTGTGGCTAAGGTGGTTTATCGCGTTTTGTTTGTAGTGGTCACGTGTTTGTGTCTATATGAACGCGCCTCGCTCCATCAATCGAAGTCAAGGAATGGTCCATGTGTTGTATTTATTTCAACCATGCAAACAATAACAAGTTGATGATTTTTGTTATGAAATAGAAGTAAAACGGCAGTTTGTGATAATTTGTAAAATAATAATAATAATAATTATATATATATATATATATATATATATATATATATATATATATATATATATATATATATATATATATATATATAGCCACTTTGTAAATAAAGCTAAATTATTTGTCACTGTTAATTGGCAGAAATTTGAGAAGGCATTATTTTTCCAATTGAATTTGGAATTTTTCTAAAAAAAAAAACTAAAATCTAAAATGTCAAAAATCCTAATTCTGTCAGTCGACAGGAACTTAGCCTATGCCATAGAGACATGACCCTAAACAAAACAAAATTATAATCGTAAAGAGTTGGAGTTGGTGGTTTTATTGCAGAATCCTACCCTTTATTTTGGCAATAACGCTCTGAAATATCCCCATTTGATTTGACGGATGTGATTCTTTTCCTCTTGAGGTAAAAAATTAGATGAGCGTCTGCTGAAATGAGTCTTTAACGAGCAGCGCGAAGCTCCCCGTTCAATGCGCGCGCGCGTCCCACAGAACAGAAGCGCGAGCATCATCGCATGAGCGCGTGATGGATCAAACAGCCCACATTACCTGAATAATGACCGACCGGCGCCTCAACACACCCACATCTCAAAGAGCCACTGCTCCGTGACTTAATGCAGACATCGCTAATGCAGACATTACTAATGCGCGTTACGGGACATTGGTCACATCGGGTGCAGCTGATGATGAGTGTCTGAGAACAGTTTCTGATGGGCGTTTGCGTGCGAGGACGAATATAAGCAGTGGATTTGTTTCACCTATTTGCTTTTATAGTGCATGATGTTGCATTATATTGTGCTAGTCTTGAAACAGACAATGCAGCCAAAAGATAATCTTTAAATGTTATGTTGTAAAGAGTTAGTTTGAGTGTAAGAGTTGTTTTTGAGTGTATTGTTTTGCTGCATCTATCTATCTATCTATCTATCTATCTATCTATCTATCTATCTATCTATCTATCTATCTATCTATCTATCTATCTATCTATCTATCTATCTATCTATCTATCTATCTATCTATCTATCTATCTATCTATCTATCTATCTATCTATCTATCTAATCTATCTGTATTTCTTTCTGTCTAATACAGTTTTGGTGGACATTCACGTTTGCCCTGCAGTACTTGTCATATCCACTAGACGGCAGTTAAGTGGTAGACCGGCTGTAAACAGCATTTAACCGACAGTTAACTTTATCAAAATGTAGAAAATGTAAAACTATGAACAAGTTAAAACGTGCTAAAAGTAGTTCTGGGCTTTAACTGTTAAGGTGAAAAGAAACACATGTAAAAAATATATATTTTAGGTATTTATTTACAGTAGGCTAATTTTACTAACCTAATTTTAGACATTTAAAATCAAAGTTTATACATTTATTTTTTGGCCAAAAGTTGGATTTAGTGAATCAAGCAAATCAAATTAGCTTGGCTATATAAAGACTTGGTCTTTAAGCTATTTCCATAGAACATGTTTTAAAAAAAACAACAACTAGCCTATATTTACAACCCAAATATTTATTGTAAAACCTTTTGTGAGAACAAAGTACAGCCAGACAGTTCGTGGAAACCCACGTTTGCTTTTCTTGGTGTTGCTTACATTTCCAATGTTGACTGAGAATGTACGTCATTTATTTAACTGTACAACATTTAAATCAATGATGTTTTAGATTAACAAAACTTAAAGTAAAAAAACAGTAACAGAAATATAATACAGTCGTTATTTTGCTAAATAGGCTTTATGTATATTTACAAGCTCTGTTCATTTAATAATTTTCGATGTAATAACTTTTACCAAAAGCATGATTTTCTTAAACAAATGCTGCTATATACACCGCATGTGTTTGGTCACAAGCGTCTATGACGTTGGTGATTTTATACTCGTGGAACTCATGCGCGCGACTCGAGGGGCCTCTCGAAATGACTGGGTCACGAGAAGTCCCACACCAGCGCGCACTCCGTGCATTTCACGGCCACGGCGCAGCAGCACGGGGATTCACGTGGGGTGGGCTGGCAAAAACCCACAGCAAACCCACAGCTGTGCGGAAATGACACAGTACCGTCACGTCACGCGAGAGGGCACTGACTAGAGAAAAAAGCAGCGAAGAGAAACACGGACAACAGTTACCCGTGGACAAATCCACTGGATTTAAATACGCGACTATGGCCGATGCCTCGTAACCTATTGCACAGGGCTGCCCGGCGTCGCAAAGGTGAGTTTGATTTCCACCGCGCAGGTAGTTTATGCGCGCCGTGTGGCGAGAGACGGAGCGAAAACTCATCGGTGGATGTTTTTCTTGCCGCGTCACGCAAGAGGGAGAGTTGCGCACGGGGGAGGGAGGGGAGACACGAGAGAGAAGGACAGGACTCAGCATTACTGCAAATACATTAACAGCAGCACATTCTTTCCTAAAGACTTATGAAGTAAGGAGCGCAGCGGGGAGCTGTTTGTCCGACTGACTCCCCGGTTGAACCGATCCGTGGGGTTTCCACTGGAAGAATGAGGAAGTGGAGCCGGTGGCCGGGGGTCTGTACGGTGAAGCAGCGCCTCTCCGGTGCTCTGGCGAGACTTCACGGTGCAAGACATGGAAAACAAATAGGAAAACAACCTCACATAACTCTACCGTGAAGAAAAACCAGTTCGAGAATAAAGTTTTTACATATTTCTTCATTTTCTCACACTTTTCATAAGTTAACATTTGTGACAGTCATGTGCAATACTGACTCAGAAGACAAATGCATCCTTTAAAAAACAAGTAATTATAGAGAAACCTTGACAATGTGACAGTCCGATATTCCGACTGTCAGATATTAAACAATCACGGGTCTTGTGTGTCTCTTCCCAGGACATGAGCTCTTCTCTGTGCATGGTTAATGCAGATGGACAGGTGCCTGATAAAAGTATGTAAAGACTCACAGTAAAAATATTCTAAATTTTCTTTGCTCATGCAGTGAGAACTTTCATTAAACATCAAGGCTTTCTCTGTGTACTAACATGCATCACATCAAATTAACCAGTCTAAATCGAAATTTCCTGTCAAATCAACTGATTTACCTTATCAAATCAAATATAGATGTTGTATTTGGAAGTGGACCTGGTAGGGGTTTATTAGTGACAATATCACATGAAATGAAATAAAGTAGACACTCAAAAATGAAGTTTTACTCCCTTTTTACTCACCTCGAGTGGATACAAACCTTTATAAGTTTTATTATTCTGTTGAACACAAAATAAGTTATTTTGAAGAAAGCTATAAAACTGTAACCATTGACTACCATAGTATTTGTTTTTTTCTATCATGGAAGTCAATGGAAACCTAGCTTTTGTCAATATTGAACAATAAAGGGTGAGTAAAGGATGAACTGCCCCTTTAATGAGAGTGTAAATACAAAAATACACAAAAAGATAGCTGATTTTTAATGCATTTGAACTACATGCTAAGGAATGATTGAATAAAAAAACTATATTGGTTGATTTTGACATTAAAGTCAGCATGACATTAAAATGGACAGTTCTAATTTTTTAAAGAAGTTTGTAATGTTTACCAGGGCACTTATTCCTTTTAATATAAGAACTTCAAAAGGACAGGAAACCGAAAAAAAGTCAAGTTTAAAGAGATGCATGTTACTACCAGCTGTAAATCTGAAAAGGATTAAACAAAGCCAGATCCTGTCACCTCATTACAGCTGCTAAAACTTGTGAGATAATGTTTATCAGTATTTCTTAGTAATTATAAACACTTGGGCTTTTCTCTAGAAGTTAAAGTCGAGAAAGATGCAGAGGACGTTATTGAAAACACAGAGGGAAAGATGGAGAGTTTCTTTAAGAGCATTACAAAACGAGCATCTACAGGTTCTGACGTGGAAAGGCCAAACAGTGGGAAGAGGATCAAGGTGACAACACCGGTAAGCATCTTTAAAACAAAATGTACATTTGTTAAATCACAACATTAATTCCTATGCAGGTTTAGCACAGTATTTGATATGGTAGAAGTTGTCATGATGCGTTAAAAGGATAGTTCACCCAAAATTAAAATTTTCTAATTATTTAATCACCCTTGAGTGGTTCCAAACCTTTACGAGTTTCTTTCTGTTGAACACAATTTTTTTGATATTCTGAATAAAGCTGAAAACATGCAACCACTGACTTCCATAAGAAGAAAAACAAATACTATGGAAGTCAATGGTTGCAGGTTTCCAGCTTTGTAAAGCTTATTTATAAATTAATTCCGATAGGAGCATGTGCTTATGATTGATCACGGCTGCTCCACCATTAGCTAACACACCCCTACTCATCCTCCTTTTCCTTATAGCAGGGGTCACCAATCTCGGTCCTGGAGGGCCGTTGTCCCTGCAGGGTTTAGCTCCAACTTGCTTTTACACACCTGCCTGGATGTTTCAAGTATACCTAGTAAGACCTTGATTAGCTTATTCAGATGTGTTTGATAAGAGTTAGAGCTAAGATCTGGAGGACACCGGCCCTCCAGGAACAAGTTTGGTGACCCCTGCCTTATAGGGTGGCATGATGGTCCAGTGGTTAACTCTGTTGCCTCATAGCAAGAACGTCACTGGCTCAATTCCTTAACAGGCCAGTTGACATTTATGTGCAGAGTTTACATGTTCCCCTGTGCTCACGTGGATTTCCCCCAGGTTCTCCGGTTTTCTCCCACAGTCCAAAGCCATGCATCATAAGTTAATTGACCTATCTAAATTGTCACTACAGTCGAGCTTTTAAGCAGCAGTATATATCTATATAGCAATTCCTGATTTGTTATTAGCCCTAAATAAGGGGTTTCTCGAGACCTACCTAAGCTAAAACTCCCCTCTCACCCTCAAACGGAAGAGAGCCCCAGGCTTGAGGATCCTATGAGCTCAGAGCTTTCTTCTGCATGCCAAACTTACTTTAATAATCAATTATCAGCTAAGTGTGTATTTCAGAATATTTTCTTTTATGATCAAAAGAAGAAAGAAACTCATAAAGGTTTGAAACGAGGATAAGTATATGATGACAGAATTTTCATTTTTGGCTGAACCACCCCTTTAACAAACAGGCAATCTGTTCTCGGACATTGTGTTTGGTGCAAATTATTAACAGCAACATCTCACACTCACTTTTAGGCCGGAGAAAACCTCCTTGACAGCAGTTCAGATGACGGAAGCAGGTCATGCTCATACGTCCACAGATCTTCTCCAGAGCAGATTTCCATCTCTTCATACAGAAAACCACTCTACAGCATCACACATCGTATCTCTGAGCGTAAAGCTGCATCCAGTCTGGACCAGAGTGAAGCCCACAATGGGGTGAGAGCAAGCCAGAATGGTGTCCACTTCCAAAAACTAGGCAACTCTAGAAAGCATCACATGTTTAAGGCTTCCCCAACTGTAGGGGTCACAGGATCTCCTGCTTCCTTGGATTCTCACCTCTACCCACTCATTGAGAAGATGTTTTTCCTCCTTAACACACTGAATTCCAGCATGACCCAGCTACACAGTAAGGTGGACTTACTTTCGCTGGAAGTGACGCGAATAAAAAAACAAATGAAGCCCTCTGAGATGGTCATGGAATTTCAGCCTCCTCCTGAATACCAGCTGACCAGTGAGGAACTCGCCCAACTGATGGAGCAAACGTCCACCGCGGGTGAGCTTGGCTGCAGGCTTCTCGTTCAACTGTTCCCAGAACTTTTCACAACAAAGGAATGTGCGCACGGCTGCAGCACATGCAGCCTCACAAGTAAACGGACATTAGATTCATTGCATCTTCAGCTAATACGCAACTATGTGGAGGCCTGCTACCCGCTAGTGAAAAATGAAAACGTCTGGCAGACAGAATGCTTGCTGCAGATCAATGACTTCTTGAATCGTTACTGGGCTCAGAAGGACATGGAGAGTGGTCAGGTGTGTGACAAACAGGCTCCGATGGTTGTCGGGTTTGACATAGAACCAAATCACACTTGCCATTTCATTAGCGAAGATGCCCAAGATGAAACTCTTTCCCTCAACTCTGGAGAGAACAACGATGTTCATTCTAACAATGTCAGCTCGGATGTAGTGCTGGACTCCCATGAGGCTGCTGGTGATGACTCTGAAGACTTAACGTCCCCGGAGGAGCTTGTCATTTTTTTGTTGAACAGACTCTTCCCGGAGGTGTTTGAGGAGGGCAAGTTGCCAGAGGGCCACAACAGCATTGGACAGTTAATCACTGACTCAGACAGACTAGAAATTCTGCGAAAATACATGGAGGCCAATTTCCCTGATATTCCAGAGGACACCTGGTTGCAGTTGTGTGTGCAACGAATGGAGGAAGCACTGGAGAACGCTTCAACCAGTGGGAACGGAGAGATGTACAACACTACCCGTCTACCTGACAACATCTCTATTGTTAAAATCAGTGACCTGTGTGATTACGAGAAACCAAATCGCAGGTCTAAGAAATCATGGCTAGAGCCTATGGATTTTGACAAACTAGAGATTCCTCTTCCGAACTTTGATGTTCCTCAGGAGTATTTACTTACTAAGGAACAGCTAAAGAATAACTACGAATGCAGTCTGTCAATTGGGAACTTTGCATCTCGTCTCCTGGTTCTCATGTTCCCTGAGCTCTTCACTAACGAGAACGCACGTAAATATTACAACTGCAGCGGATCTCTAGGCAAGAAACAGCTAGATCCTTTACGAATAAGTCTCATCCGACATTATGTACAACTGCTCTACCCACAAGCTAAGAACGACCGCGTATGGACCCTTGAGTTTGTCGGCAAACTTGATGAACGATGTAGACGACGAGATACCGACCAACGACGTTCATATCAACAACAGCGGAAAGCCTGTTCACCTGATCAAGAGCCTGACCCGAATGACTCCCTGTTATCTGCTGGCCAAATCAATGCTCTTACTTCTGATCGCTTGAAAGAGGACTTTGAAGTCCTGTCTTCACCCCTGGAGAAAAGCAGCAAAGATTTCTGCAAGATTCCTCTCGAGGACCTCTCGGTACCCACCCCAGACTTCCCAGTGCCTTCTGAATACCTGCTTACGGATGCTGAAGTGAGGGAGATTGTCCAACAGAGTCTGTCTGTGGGAAATTTTGCTGCTCGCCTTCTCGTCCGCCTCTTCCCCGAGCTTTTCACACAGGAAAATTTGCGGCTGCAGTATAACCACTCTGGGGCCTGCAACAAGAAGCAGCTGGACCCCATGCGCCTTCGACTTATTCGTCATTACGTGGAAGCCGTCTATCCTGTTGACAAGATGGAGGAGGTGTGGCACTATGAATGTGTGCCAAGCATCGACGAGCGCTGTAGACGGCCCAATCGCAAGAAATGTGACATTCTAAAGAAGGCAAAGAGATCAAACAACACTGTGACTTACTCTTGAACAATGTTCCTGCAAACTGCAGATCTGTTTTCCTATTTTACACAACATACCTGTTATTTGCACAAGCAGATTTTAACCTATCCTTGTTTAAGGTCCGGTTTGGCTGGTTAAATTCAAATGTTGGCCTTTAAATGGGACAGATTAGTAGGTGACAAAAAAGTTTGTGACTGAAGCCACTATCACCTGATAGTTATTAGTGTTACTATTTATATGCCAAAATAGAGTGTTGCAGGAATGACGTCAGAACACGGAATGAATGATGTTTAGTGTTCCCTAATGTAAAATAAGGTCTCTGGTAAATATAACTCCAGAACTCCCTAGAGGTTCTTATCTGTAATGTATGATTTATAAAATACTCAAAACAGTACAGGTTTTTAAAACCCAGGTTCATTCTGAAAACGTACCTCTATGTACATTTCTGGAGAGTGCCAAATACGTCCCAGGAGCTGCGTTTTTTGCAGCTTTTTTTTAATCCACCAGAGGCCACTGTGTACACTTTTTGAAATCTCAAATTTCTCTTGCACCTGTTGTCCTCGCGTAAATGCGTAAGGCCGCTGTCAACTGACTGTTTGACTGGTTGAATGACTGACTGACCGATCAACTGACCCACTCTCCTTCTTCCCTAAACACTACCAATAGTAATTACAAAAGCACTTATTGACCCATCAACCCCCTTCCCTAATCCCAACCGAGTTTAAAAAGCAATCCAAAAAAAGAAATCCCTTGCCTAATATTAATCACGTTTTCAGATTTTATCACATTCTCACCCTGTTATTTACTTGTTTATTTTATTTTTTGAATTCTGTTTTTGTCTGACTTTGTCCTGCTTTCTGGAATTGTTTTTCACCGGACTCAAACTCTCATCAATCAAGTCCCCAACGTATATGGCGAGCTAACTGGACAAACGTAAAAGTGTCCATACGGAAGTAAGCAGTCAGCTGTAGGCGAGAAAAGGATATAACCGCCCCATATTGTTCGTTTTAAAGATGAAATGCAGCCATACATATTTCTGGCTACGTAATTCGTGATCTCCAGAAACGTATACAGGCCTCTGTTTTCAGAATGAGCCTATGTTTGGATTTCAATTTGGATATATCCAATCTAGATTGCAGAGAAAAAGCAAATCATATTGTCTTTACCTCAATTTTTTTTCCTAAATTGAAAAACACCCCGAGGCAAATATATGTAGGGAATCAATTGTGAATTATTCTTCCAGGTTCTAACATAATTCTTTCACTACTCTATATTATTGATGTTATTCTAATGTCTAATTAATAGATAAGCTAAAGGTAGCCTTAATCAATTAAAATGTAAACTTTTAGTTCTTTAAAAAATAGGTCACTTTAGATAGGGGTGAGGGCAGAGAAGATATATATAAATATATATTTTTTGTTTGTTTGTTTTAAGTTGTAGCAATGTTGCATCACTGGCTTTTCTAATTATCAGCATATTGAAGTGTGTCCTGCCTTACAGGAAGTCGATCTTAATTATATGTACTAAACTATAGCACCAGGTTAAACGTTATATATTTTTAAATAAAAATATCACTTCCTAGCCGAGATGTGTTTTCATGTTTGTTTTTATTTACTCACCGAGGGTCAGTGGGTATCTTGTTTACAAACAGAGATCAAAGTTGTGTTTTGCGTATTCCACTCTGAAAACTGCTTAATAGAAATCCACCAAAGCCATAAAGACAAAGGTCAAAACAAATTAAGCAATTATAATCAAGGGATCAGAGATCCTGAAAACATTTGAAATTCTAATAATTGTTTTCTGTGACTCCAGTAAATACTACATACAATTGAAAATTCATATAACCAAAACCAACTCTAAACAATAGGATGTGTTTGTGAGCTGTAAAGTTCATAACCTCTTCAAGTAGTTTGAACCACTTACGAGAACTACTGTCAAGTGACATGATATGAAAAAGCTTCTGCTAGCCAGAAAACACCTCATAAAATTCTCTGTCTGCAGTTTCAGAATCAAACGACTGGAGAGTGGATTAGGAAATACCACTTTTGTCCTACTTTCTGATCTTTCACCCATTAAGCACTTAGTCTTGGTCTTCAGTCCTTGTAAACATCCTTTCTGGGAAGTTGTAGACTTTTCCAGCTTCTTAGAATGACTTTCAGCTTTTCGCCATCTTTTGTCTCTGAGACCACCTTTTTTAAGATCACCCTCTTCAGCAAGATAGTGTCCCTTTCCTTGTCATCACTGAGGATCTGATCCAAAGTATCCCCCACCTTAACCTGTAGGAGGCAACAGACCATCAACTGTTGTAGTAAGGTGCAGTTTCTGCTTATACTCGTAACTAAAGGCAACATGAGGATGTTTAAGGAATTGACTGGCATTAGACAAACAGCTGAAGTCAAAAGTATTATCCATCCTGTTAATTCCTATAATATTTTTTATTTCGGAGAAAGTCTTATTTGCTTTATTTTGGCTAAACTATCATTATATAACGACTAGCCTAATTAACGTAACTTGCCTAATTAACCTAGTTAAGCCTTTTAATGTCACTTTAAGCTGATCACTAGTCTCTTGAAAAATATCTAGTAAAATATCATGTACTGTTATCATTGCAAAGATAAAATAAATCAGTTATCAGAAAGGAGTTATTAAAACTTTAATTTTATTAACTTTTTGTCAAACAGATATTGGGGGAAATATACAGGGGGGCTAATAATTCTGACTTCAACTGTATATAAAGGTAGCTGTTTTGATTTTTACCACTAGAGAGCGCTGACTTACCAATTTGCCCTTCTTGGACAGTTTCTGACCGTTCAGTCTCAATTTGAGGCTATAGAAAGAATCCTCAACACTACTGTAAAAGAGATACAGCTGTTAGTCACTTACACCACCAGCCCAAAAACACGCACTAAAAAGTACAGTCTAAAAAATATAGTCTGTGCAGTCCAATAGGAGCATTTGACAAGGTAAAATGAAAAGCTGAACTAATATAAGAGATATGTCTTAATGTGTTAGTCATAAAAGATTAATATATATTTCACTGTAACATCAAAGTTAGCTTTATTGTCGATTCAACCACATGTACAGGACAAACAGAGTATAAAAATTGCGTTACTCTTATATATACATATATTATTAATACAAAAAGTAGAATTTAAAAAAGAAATGACAATAGAATTACACATATAATATAACAAAAATACAAGTGATAAATTAAAAAAAAAATGCATTCATTTTCTTTTCAGCTTGGTCTCTTTTTTTAATCTGGGGTCATCACAGCGGAATGAACCGGCAACTTATCCAGCATATGTTTTACAGAGCAGATGCCCTTCCAGCTGCAACCCAGCACTGGGAAACACCCGTACATTCACACTAGGAATGGGACAATAACCATTTTCAAGGTATACCGCGGTTTGGAAAAATGAAGGTTTTAAAACTGCCAAAATTTTCTGTAATGCCGTTCCTTAGGTATGTGTAAGATTTTTTATTTACATTTTTTTTTTTTGTTTTTTTTAGGACAGCAGTATCTCCAGCAGAAAAGATCTTTAAAGATGCCGTTTTAAATTGTAAAGAAATCTGTGTTTTTTTAAACAAATGAAGACAGCAGAAGTCAATGAGTGATTTGATTTATTTAGCCTGACGTCTTTACTGCTCCAAAATATGATAAATCTTTCAAAAAAATCAAATATATTGTTTTCAAAGGGGAAAAAAGTTTTTTTTTTTACCCAGACATTTAAAACTAATATATTTTAGAGCAGCAATCACAATACCGTGATATTTTTATCCAAGGTTATCATAGTGTCAGAATCTTATACCAGCCCATGTCTAATTCACACACACACACTACGGACAATTTAGCTTACCCAATTCACCTATAGCGCATATTTTTAAACTGGGGGGAAACCGGAGCACTCGGAGGAAACCCAGGCACATGGCAAGGAGTGCCAACCTGAGTTGTGCAGATTTAAAACAGTATATAGTGCAAAAAGTTTTTAAATATAATAAATATAATAAAGTGACAGTGTCTCAATGATATACAGGAAGTAATTATAATATTATTTATGTGAGTTGAACTGAGAACACTAATTTTGGAAAAAGTAATCTCTGAACATCTTCTCGGACTTACTGTCTTGCAATATCCAATCCAGACTTCAAAACCAGATCAAAACGTAAGGACTGGACGACTTTCTCGTTGTCTTTGTAGTTATTTGGCAGGCCTGGGTCATCTGGAAACTCATCCTCATAATCGCTAGTCTCTTCTTCGGTCTCTTCCTGGTGCACTGCTTTTTGTTTCCCTTTCTTTCTTGTGCTCTTGAGTCGGATCTGATGGAGAGTCCAGCTCTGCCGAGCATCCCATGATTTTGGTCCCATTGCCGTCCGGTGTGTTTGGGAAGTGGCTGAACCCCACAGTTGACGAGCGTGTAACATCCGTGGGCACCACATGCTGAGGCCGGAGCCATGGCATGGTGTGAGCAGCTGCAGGGAGTTCAGTCTGCCTAGCTGCCGCAGGGCCAGGGCCTGCACCGATAGACTCTGCATACTGTTACACTGAACACTGGATACAAGAGGAAAAGATTAGTGAAAAGTGATGACAAGCATGTACAATTCACACTGCTCAGAGCTATCGTATTTTACAGATTTAAATTCAAATGTAATGGAAATCCTCTAAAGCAGTGTTTCTCAATCACGATCCTGGAGGACTACCAAAACTGTGTGTTTTGGATGTCTCCTTTGTCTGTCACAACCATTACAGGTCTTTCAGTCTCTTTCAATGAACTGATGATCTGAATCAGGTATGTTTGGTTAAGAAGACATGAAAAATGTCTAGAGCTGACAGACACTGTTCTAAAGCAAAACAATGAGGTGTATAGAGGGATGTAGTCATCTTATTAATATTAAAGACACCCCCACAATGCAAGTCATTTGTTATTTGTTTTTTTTATTTATATGTTATTAAAAAAATGAAAACTTGCATATAAAAAATAAACAAGGAGTCTGCAAAGTCAGTTTCAGAAATGAAATATATAGAGAGAGAATAGCTTGAATTATGTTGGCAGAAAAAGGTAACAAGACAAAACATTTTCAATTCATATTGTTGTCATCAGTGCCAGAAAAGTCACAAAAAAAGTTTCAAAACAGTAAAATAGACAAATTCCACAAGTTTTTTAAGGACTTATTATTATATAATTATATAATAATTATATAATTATTAGATAATTTATTATTTACATAAAATGTTACATGCACAATTTATTTAATTCTTTTCCCTAATGTTATAATTTATAAGATTTTAAAATTAAGGACTCATTATTACATATATGGCGCTGAAAATAAAGTAGTGCTGGTAATTTATGTACAGAAAATACATGAGAAAAACTTTTGTGTTATTTTATTGAGGTAAAGTTTGTTTTATATTTGCACATTTGTTCTTTTATTGTTTACCACGCTAATTTGAATATTTGGTTTGAAATCACATTTAAGTTTGACTTCCAAACAATATTAGCACTATTTATTTGACAGTGAACAATGTTGTACTTCAATAGTCAATGGCTGCTAATATGATTTCCCTGGTTATAATTTGCAAATAGCACATTTCAGAAATTATAATATTAAAGATAAAGTCTGAATGTGCATATATAAAACCAACTTTACCCCAGTGGTATTTTTGGTAAAAAATTTACTGTGTGTATTATGAAGCTAATAGCACTGACAACAAATAACGATGCTTTTGTCATCGTCTAAACTTCATATAGCGATAAATGACTTGTTTCCACACTTAAAAAGTAAACATAACTAAACTAATGAGAATAAAGAATAAGAACATCCATTGGCAATCACGTTAGTGTCATATAATCACAACATCAGCTCATAACATGTTTTTACACTGACATTTGAATTATTTATTTATTTTATAATAAAAAAACTTACATATATCAAAAAACAAGTCTGCAAAGTCTACCAAACATTTTTAATTCACCTTGTCGTCATCAGTGGCAAAACATTTTTAAAAAGTATCAAAACTGAAAACAATGTAAAGTCAAATTAATTCCACAATGTTTTAAAGGACTAACTATAATTTTATTTACATCAACACATGCAAGTTTTTCTCTGCTGCTGTTATAATTTGTTTAATTTTAAAATCAAGGACTCATTATTACATTTATAGCTAATAATTAAAGTAGTGTCGATAATTTATGTATAGTAAATACATAAAAAAAACGTAAGTGTTTTTTTTTTATATAGAGGTAAAGTTGGTTTTATATTCGCACATTGGGACTTTCCCCTTAATAATATAATTACATAAAAGTATTATTTGTACACTCTAAATAGTAAAATCATATTAACGTTAGCAGCCAATGACAAGGTACAACATTGTTCAGAGTCAAATAAACAGTGTAAATGTTGTTTTGAAGTCATACTTGCAAGCTAATTAGTAACAAGTAACATGGTAAACAATATAGAGACTGCTAAATGAACGAATGGGCGAATATAAATCAAACTTTACCTGTACTGTTAATATTTGTACAAATATACTGTGTGTATATGCAGCTAATAGCAATGACAACAAATGACGATGCTTTCATGATCGTCTAAACTTCACATAGCGCTAAAGGACTAGTTTCTACATTTATAAACTAAACATAAATAAACTGATGAGAATTAAAGAATAACATTTATTACCAATCACGTTAGCGTCATATTATCACTACATAATCAAAAATATGCATATACATCAGCTCATAACGTGTTTTTACACTGACAACAACATTTCACTATCAATACATGCAAAAGTAAAAGTTTTGTTCTTAACAACTACATTAAAAATAGAGATATTTTACCTATTTAAGTGATCTCTTCTTGACTCTAATCTTGACTTGAACTGATCAACGAGCACAGCAAAAACAAACCAGCAGTCTCCGTGTCTGCAGTGCACACTTGTTACAGCGTCCTCTATAGTTGGGATGAATTACTAAACAGCGTAAAACAGTTTATCAGGATTTACACCAACCAGGCTTTGGTGATATCATAAAGATATACACATTAACTGAATAACTTTTCATTCGTTTTATTTTGGTTTGATATTTTCTAGAATGCTTTGTGCACTTTGTATAGTTTACCATTCTGCTCCTGTATTTATAGAAAACTAAACGCCCGCCCCGTCAAGCACACTTGTTTCTCTGGATTGGTGGCTGACGTTGGACGTCTAGGGGTCCAGCAGCTTTAAAACATCATGTGAGCGCCTCCTTCTGTCAAAACTCTCACCGTGAGGCGGAATACCAGCAAGAACGGTCACCTCTGCATTCATCTTCATCAACATGACATGCTTTATTTACGTTTTTGCCTTTTTTCTGTCTGCATTTTTAATGGAGGCGCAGGGCACGTATGGTCCTTACGCGCGGAACCACAACCAGCTGTACGCGGGCCGGCAGAGATCACCTCACATCAGCCCTAATATACCTGGACACGGTAACTCCATCAACATTGGAGGTAATCATTCATTAATGTTATTTAGAGTTATTGTTATTATTAACAATAATAAATATAAAACAATCAACACGTATAATTAATGTCGAGCCTTGTTTAAAATGGATAACTAAAAATAAATAATAATAATAATTACAATACTAATGATGATGATAATGATAATAATAATAAAACACAAGTTGTAATAATAATTAAAAGTTTAAATGACATTTGAGAGTTATGTCTTAAAATGCATTAGTGCTTTTCTGGATCAAAGATTTATGCTACTGTAGTCCTGTGAAGTTATGTAATCTATTCACACTGCTGGTGGACTTGCCATTTTACAGTAGCCCTATTATTAGCTGATTATTTTGTTCAGGAAGTACTTAATCATAGATCAGAGACCTTTAGACTTCTATAAACTTGAGAACAGTGGGGTTCTAATTAATGATAAATTAGAGGAATTAATGAAATCTAAAAACCACTAGCTTGAAGAATATGATTTCATTACTTTATGTATTGATTTAAAAGAAGATCATGAAATAATTATATAGGCTACTTTATTCTATACACTTATATGGTTTTTCAAATTCACATATAAGTTCCACAGCAATCTACATGATATGCTAGTTTAACAATATATATTTTTTACATTTTATGCTACAAATAAACTTTTTTTTCTACACTTTAACTGGGTCCTACTCTTTACCTGTAATCAGTAATCTGGTCATGTGTTCTAAAGATGCCTCTGAATGACTTTGTTTTATTTGAGAAGTGATTTTGGTGCTACAACATGTTTCTCCTCCAGGCTGATATTAAATATTGCAGGATCTAGACCTGCAGGCATTCCCAGAGAACTTCTGAACACCCTTTAATTTCATTTCTAGAAAATGAAAACTGTTAACTCATGCTTTTGCTAGCAAAAAAGTGTCATCACAAATCCTCATGAATATCATATTGCGTAAAACCATCAGAGTAACGGCTTACTTTAATGCTTCTCTCCCTCCCATTCTTCTGAAACTTATTTCACCCTACATCTTTATCCTCTGTTTTTCCTCAGTCTATTGAATCTTGTCTTTTCCCCATTCTTTCTCTCTTCCTGAGTATTTTTATGTATCTGTTCACCTGTTCTCTCTCTCTTTCTCTCTCTCCCTCTCTAACCAAACACAGCTCATGGCTTTAATCCCAGGTTTTACAGCTATCATCATCCCAACCCTCATCAGCATCATCCCCAGCGGCCGCCCTGGAAAGGGCCTCCCTTCATCTACCACCGCCCTGTACCTATCCAACCTGTCCGGCCAATCTCACCAGTCCAACCTGCCCGGCCAATTGTGCCCTCACTACCCAGAATACCAGTTGTGTTACCTGCCCCTACAGTACCCATGCCAGTGAAACCAATACCCACTCTTCCCCCTCCACCTCCACCTTCAACACAGGCTACGACTACAACCACTACAACCGCTACAACTGCTACAACCTCTACAACGACTACAACTACAACTAGCACAACTACTTCACAGCGGGTCAGTACCCCCCGTGCCACAACTGCCCCTGCCAAGCCTCCCACTGTCCCAGGTAGACCAATCCCACCCCACCGGGTGCAGACCACATGTCTGGTACTCTTCAATCCAACATAATAATATTTTTCTCCTCTTTCTTTTTCTCTCTTCAAGGAGAACTGACACAGATTGAATGGTCATTTATCATTAAACAAGCAAGACTGTGAAATAATTCTGCACAAATAGCATTAATCTCCTCAGTAGCCGGGATTCCACTAATGTGAAGTGAATCTTTTTAAAGTAAAATCAAAAAACAAAATGTGAATTAGGTTTCCATCAAGTTGTTAGAGTAGCTGACAATTGTATTGGTAACCCAGTAACCAGCAGGTTACTAATGTTACTAATTCACTAACAACTAATGTTGTGTTTAGTATTGACCCTTTTCCAGTGGAGTAAAGTAACAAATTACAAATACTCAAATTACGGTAATGTTTTTAGAAATTTGTAATTTACCAAGAAGTTTTAAAATGTGTACTTTTACTTTGCTTTGAGTACATTTTTTTTGTGCAGTATTGGTACTTTTACTCAATTCCTTTTCATCAACCTGCAGTCACAACTTTATTCTTGTCTATGGGGTCTGGCTAAAGTAGAAAAATTAGTTCTGTGATTCCTGTCCAATCTAATCACACATAGAAAGTCAATCGCACCATACTGAACAACCTCAAGACATGAGCGCTTTATAAGTGCACCAAACTGTCTGGAAGCATTAAAAGTGTCTAGGAAGATGTCCATAATCTTTACACGCATTGACCCAGAGACTGTTTTGACTGCGTGTAACTGATGAGAAGATGAAGGATGTTTACTGTATGATGACTTTAAATACTAAATGGCCTTAAACTATAACTAAATGCACTACAGAATGTAACATTTACACACACTCACACAAATTGCAGGTAAATGCATAAGCTTTTTACAGTGTAATGCCCACTGCCTGCTACTCTTGAGTACTTTTAAAAAGCTACTTTTTACTCTTTGAGTAATTTCTGCAACAGATACTTTTTTGGACAAGTAATGGTACTTTTACTTAAGTATGATTTTTCAGTACTCTTTCCACCACTGCCCTTTTCACAAGACTGTTATGACGAATTTAACAGTCATCATAATCCTAAATCCTTGAAAGTTTTTAACATTTTGATAAACAAAAATGTATGAACATTTATATGCATTTATGAACATATTATAAAAGCTTTTCATCAAATTACAAAAAACAAATTACCGCTTATGCGAGGTGTTTCTAATGCAGCATCTATGGGGCTGAGAGTAAATCTGACATTATTCCCTCCTCTGGCTGCAGTTATCAGTCTCACACAATTCTTTTTCGGAAAGTTTTGATAACAACATCGAGGAGTTTTTCTTTTGTTATTTCAGCAAATAGGATTGTAAAAAAATGTTTGTTGTACTCTCCCATTCACTGCGCTCTAATTTTATCCAACCATGAGGTTGTTGTTAGATCAGATACTCTCAAAGAAATATTTTTTTTTTTTGCTCGTTCAAACTACTTATTTAAAATGAGTTAAAATAAAACAATTCTTAAGATTTTATTGGGACAACTTAATTTTTTTGGGCCCTATCATACATCTGCCGCAATGTGGCGCAAGGCGCGATGCAATTGTTGTTTGCTAGTTTTGACGTTTTGCGCCAAGCGATTTAAATAGCAATTGCATTTGTGCTCACATGCGCTCCCATGGGCGTTCTGGTCTAAAAAGGGAAGCGTGTTGAGGTGTATTACTGGTGCGTTACTATTTTTAGAAACTATAATAGATTTTTCAATAGACCTGAACAAAGCCGGTCTATTGTCCAGCGCAAAATATTAAGGATATATATAGGATAGAAATATAAAGGATTAAAACATTACAAAACATTATTTTCTAGCCTACATAAATATAAAAAACACTGCCTTCATGCCTTCTTCATCTCAGGGGGGCTTTTTCAGTTTATTCATAACAATGTTTGTTTATTCATAACAATGTATGCTTTTGTATAATGTTATAATTATTAGCAGTATTATTTATTATATCCATATTTATATTTGTTTTGTGTAAAAACAAGCTTTGATTTGCCCACCTGTCAGGTTTTAGACAATATGGGGCACAGCATGTGTATTTGAATATAACTCTGTTTTTTGACCACACTTCGTTATTACTGTTCATTTATTAATTTGCTGAAAATTAGAACTGAATTTAGAAATAGTTTTGAAACAAATATTTGTGCTTAGCAAACAAAATTAATTATTTATAGGCTAATTGATGTCTGTGCGTACAAGGTTTCCCTATCCACGAGAACGAAGTGAAAGTAGATACAGAGAAAGCTTATCTCTCAGTCTCTGCAGATGGTCTGTTTAACTGTTTTCTTGCTAGTGAAATGCTCAGTTTTTCCACTTCCACTTACTTTACGTCATGTAAATAGCAAATGTGCCATGGCGCAACGCAACTGACACTTAAAGGAATGGGAGATGAGACTCTGATTGGTTTATTCTCAAACAACACCCATAACTCATTAAGAGAATAAGCTCAACCCTTATATAGACCATGCGCCACGGTGCAAAGCGGATTTTTCTGTCCTTAAATTAGCAAAAGTGGATTCAGACACGCCCTGAATGCATTTGCGCCCTGCGTTTTGCGCATGGATCGTGAAAATAAAGCCCTTTATGTTCAATCCACATAAATTTGTTAAAAGTGTTAAGTTAACTTAATCAATATGTATTGGGACAACATGAATGAATTGTGTGGAACCCTGCATTTTTTACAGTTTAAGGTTGTGGCCGGAAGTTGACGAAAATGATTTATATTATTTATGAACTTTCGAATTAATTGTATTTTCTTAACGTCTACCCCCACCCCAACTGTAAACCCAACCATCACAGTAACGTAAAAACAGTAGTACCAAGTATTATTTATGTTATTTATTAAATTACTCAATACATTGTATTTTTTAACATCTACCCCTATCATAACCCTAAACTCAACCATTACAGTACTGCAAAAATATTGATTGTTGTTATACAGTGTCATAAATGGTGCTATATTGATGTACATATCTGCAGCTGTATCCTATCTAGACCTTACCCAACCATGACACCTTCCACTATTGAGAAACCTGGAAATGTGAAAAGGATCTATAAACACAAGCTGCTGTTTTATTGGCTCGGTATAGCAGGATGAATTCTGATTGGCTGTTAATATTTTGAACATTCATTAACTAGGAAACACCTATCAAAAATAAATCCAGCAATATTACAATTTTCATAGTAATGTGGATATTTACATTTCATCTTTTTTTAAGAATGATGGGTAATAGTTTTGGAGTGAACAGGCATTAATGCTATTTGTGTATATTGTACTCGTGTTCTGTTTTTTTTTTTTTTAGCACAAATGGAATTAACCGACTCAGTTTCTTTCTGTTTTTCAGTCACAGAGCTGCACTGCTAACCGTGGAGCCTCTCTTTTTCACAAAACACTCTTTTTTTAACACATTAATCTTTTTCAGAAGCACACACTGATTGCACATTTTATGAATTTTTAATATTTATGTGATTTTAATACTAATTTATTATTTATCTCCCACAGCTCCAGCAGAGCCCTGCAAGAGTCGTCCACTTGACCTGGTCTTCATCATCGACAGCTCTCGAAGTGTCCGTCCTGCAGAGTTTGAGAAGGTCAAAATCTTCCTCTCAGAAATGGTTAACTCTCTGGATATCGGATCCGATGCCACAAGAGTCGCGCTGGTCAACTACGCCAGCACCGTCAACATTGAGTTCCATTTGAAAAAGTACTTTAGTAAGGCTGAGGTCAAGCAGGCCTTCTCCCGTATTGATCCACTCTCGACAGGAACCATGACTGGCATGGCTATCAAAACCGCCATGGAGCAAGTTTTTACAGAAAATGCTGGAGCCCGGCCGTTAAAAAAGGGCATTGGTAAAGTGGCCATTATTGTGACAGATGGAAGACCGCAAGATAAAGTCGAAGAGGTGTCAGCAGCAGCAAGGGCTTCTGGGATTGAAATATACGCAGTAGGAGTGGACAGAGCAGAAATGCGGTCCCTCAAGCAGATGGCCAGTCAGCCGCTCGATGACCATGTGTTTTATGTGGAGACATACGGAGTGATCGAGAAACTCACATCCAAGTTTAGGGAAACGCTCTGTGGTAAGAGAACATAGAGGGTTTAATCTACAATTATGAAGCACTTAAAGTAAAATAAAAAGTGTTTAAATATATATTTGGGTCAAAAATGAGCTGTCCTGTTTTGCAAAAGTAATTTTATATGCTTAGAAAGCAAAATTTTAGGCCTTAAAAAGTCTTAAATCTACTGAAATGTTGTGTTGGGGGTCTTAAATCTTTTTTAACAGGTCTTAACTTTACTTTGTTTATGTATAGCTACCCAATCTGGCCATTAACACCCTTACAATCACCAACAATCCCAATCTCAATAAAACTATTAACTTTTAAAAAATAGCATTTAATTACTTTCTATTTATTTACTGCTGAGGATACAGACCCAACCTTTATTTGCTATTTTTTATTTTATATTATTGTATTATCAAATGTATTCAATTATAATTATTTTTTGATAGGGCAAGTGAAAATATTTTCCAACTAGGATATTCAAAAAAAATCCTTAGCATGTAGCCCTGTATAAAGTCTGGTTTATACTTCTGCCTTGTGCGTTCCTATGCATTTGTACTTCATTTATACTGCATGCTTTTTCTGTTGCTCTGCAATAACACTTCTGAAACGCTAGCTGGCAGGGAGGTTTTTATGTTCCTCTGTGTCGAGTTACTTCGCTGGTGTTTTGTTTTTTTCTGGTACCTTATTGTAAAAGTAGCTCAAACTCCCTCGTTTTGACGCAGGAACCGGCGGACGGGCAACAACTTTCATCATAAGGTAAACACAAAACAAAACTTTCCACCTAGAGCTCCTTCACGTGACTCAACACTTGTAAACACTCGTAGTATTTTACAAATATATCGATCGAGACCGTCTGGGAACAGTTTAGTTTGTCTGGGAACAGTAATGACTATTATTTGATTAAGCAAATAAATACTATTCAATCATTGGAATCAATATGTATATATATAGTGGAGTAAAACATAAATATAGACGGCAGATTTCGATCTATCACAGAGCTTGCGCTACGTGTCGTTGCGGCGTGTAGTTTCATTTTTTGAGAGGTGTGCGTCGGCAACGGCCACGATGAGGGTTGTGCGACCACTCAAAGGCTGCGCCGGAGCATACGTGTGCACTTTATGCAGAAGTATAAATCAGCCTTAAGTCTAAAATTTCACTTCAATGGTCTTAAAAAATGTCTTGAAAAGTCTAAAGTGTTAAAGAAACCTGCAGAATCCTTGCATGTGTTTATTTATAATTTTTTTTCAGTTGGATCAAAATACTTACTCTGACCTGTATTCATTCAAATACATAAAATAATAAGTGATCACACTATTCAAATTTTAATTATATTTTACATAATTAAACACTTTGTTGATAAATTTGTAAATGGCTTTGATTAAAGAAATGTAGAAATATATAAATCATTATAATCTTTGAATAGAGTCTTTTAATGCATCATCAAACATTTATTATTTGAATATATTTAAATCTGTTTGTCTTTGACCCATTTATATATTTAAATATTTTATTTGATTATTTCATGTTATATAAATGTTTATAATTAAAACCATGATTTCAACACAAAACTGAATAATAAATTTTGCAGGTTTCGACGCTTGTGCACATGGGCACAACTGCGAACATATTTGTGTCAGCAACAATGCTTCTTATTTCTGCAAGTGCAGAGAGGGATATGTTATCAACTCTGACAAGAAAACATGCTCTAAACAGACCAACGGTTTGTCATAAAAAAATATGCATTAATAAATTTGATGCATATCAAAGAATAAGATTGATGCATTTTAATGAAATGCATCTAAAAAATGCTTAAAACTTAATATTATTTTGGTACAAATCACAAAAATGCACTGAACAAATGTAATATCTTAAGGATTAAATATTGTATGTGTTATTGTAAATTCACTTTCTGAATGCATTAATATTATTTAAATCTGTTGTTTGAATTTATCGTGTGTGGAGTAAGTGAAAAATTTTCAGCAATAAAAGTATCTCGAAAATCATGTCTGTTTCTCTTACAGAAGAAGCAAGAGCAGATCTGACTGAAAATGCCTGCATGTGTGAGGCTCAGATTGCCTTTCAGCGGAAAGTTCACAACAGCATACAGACGCTCTCCAGCAGACATATCCTTTCATATTTATATAGTATTTGCTTGTTATCGCATATCCTATTAACTACTATCACAGTCTGATAGCAAATAGTAATTAAGTTTTAAATGTTTTTATGATGTATATTAAGATTTTTCATTGAAAGTTAATCTAATTTAAAACACTTGGTTATTGTGTTAACATTGTGTGTTTTTCTTAACTGTTCCTACTGGATGACATCTCAAACAGAGTCCAGCAGTTTGATCTTCGTCGTGCCTAGATTGGAAGATGGGACTCAAAGCTGCTTATCTGAATAAAATAAATAGTTATTTAAACTTTTATTGTAACTGCATGTGCATCCTCGTTTTGTTCATTTAACTGTTAAATATCTGTTCGTCATGTTTTGAGTATTATTTTTGAGTAATCGACATGTCAAAAAAAAAAAAAAAAAGGACACAAATTGAAGTATTTGGAAGAATGCATTTATTTTTTGGAACAAATAGTAAAAGTAATATTGCTATTTTGGAGTGTTATGTAAAGTATACGCACATCATTTTATGTTTGGAAAATTGTACAAATATATGTGAATAAATAAAATATTGTTTGATGTCATTTTCTGTCTTTATATTGTTTGACTATTTGTTTTAGATTTTTGAATTCGTTTCACAGATATTCAAAATAATTATGGTATCACAAATGATTAGTTTTGATTAGATGAGGAGTTTTTAAACTGAGATGAGGGGAAAAAGTATACAAATTTAAATTAAAATGCTAAATTATGTTGTATATAACACATTTTGGGAAATACAAGAAACAAACAGTTAAAAAACAGCCTAAAATAATAAAATAATAATAAAAATAATAAAAATAATGATTTAATACAAGTAGTATAATAAATAATTTCAATCATTTGTAAAAAAAAAAAAAAATTAATTAATTAATTATTTAAATACAAATACTTACAACTTGTGCGGTTTATTTAGCTGCGGCGACCCCTGATTAATATAGGGACTTAGCCGTAAAGAAACGAATGAATAATTACAACTTGTTAAAAAATGACCAAGTAAACACATCAATAAGCACATACATGCACTATTATAATGAGGGCCCTCACATGACGATGATCATGAGGTCAGGCCATGGCTCTAATTAAAGATTTTTTTTTTAATAGAATTAAAGATGGCAACAATGTGGCTCAGTGGTTAGCACTGTCACCTCACAGCAAGAAGGTGGCTGGTTTGATTCCCAGCTGGGTCAGTTGGCATTTCTTTGTGGTGTTTGTATGTTCTCCCCGTAATGGTGTGGGTTTTTCCGAGTGCTCCGGTTTTCTCCACAGTCCAAAGATGTGGTATAGGTGAATTAAATAAACTAAATTAGATGTATTTTATGTGTCTGAATTAATGATGTTTGCCAGTAATCACTGGGTTACGGCTAGAAGAGCTGTGTTAAACATATGATGGATAATGTTGGCGGTTCATTCTGCTGTGGCGACTCCTGATGAATAAAGAGACTAAGCCGAAGGAAAATTAATGAATGGATTGAATAGTTACAGATTGAAAGCCCTTGCCTCAGACTAACAATCAGAGAGTTTCTCAAGAGAACTACAAATCCCACAAACATCTCAATCCAGCATCATTTCCGGGTTTTGGTTACCTAGAAACCAAGCAAACCATTGTACAGGAGCGTAGATGGATGGAAAATCCACCGAAATTCCACATGCTTTGCAGAAGAGATCTAATATACAGTTCTTTGAGGAAAAGACAACGCTAAAATTACCCTAAGTCATTGCAACCGAAAAACACCGTTAGCATCCGATTAAAGCGAGACAAATCGGCCCAAAACGCTGCGGCAGGCTAGCAGGCTAAGCTAGCAAAGATGTTTATATACCTCAGCAAGAAGGTACTGTAAGCGTGACATACTGCATCAGTTGTTTTCGTCGTTATTTGAACATATTCTCTCACATTCAATACATGAACTCAGATTTTTGTTGGACATTAGCTGTTGTTTTTCATTTAAAAAATCGTTTTTGCAGATAATGTCTAGGTAATGCTGTATTTGCACAAATTACCTGTTGCATGTTGTTTCCTCAGATTGCGATTCCAAACAATACGGTTTTAAAGTGTGTGTCTTGGAATAAAGACCAAGGTTTCATCGCCTGTGGAGGAGAAGATGGACTTTTAAAAGTGCTCAAACTCGAGACTTACACAGGTGGAAACTTCTAACTACTAGTATTTTTGTTATATAGCCAGACACAGCCATCTGAATATTGCACTTCTACGTGTTTAGCATAGAAATTTTTAAGGAAATCCATCAGTAATGTTTTATTTTCTCAGATGATGCCAAACTGAAAGGTTTGGCTGCTCCTAGCAACCTCTCCATGAATCAGACACTGGAGGGTCACAGCGGTAAGAAAAAAGAGATTTGTGATATCAGTTTGATTTCTGTGCAGTTTCTAAACTTTGATTTGGCTATGCAGGTGCAGTACAGGTTGTGACGTGGAACGAGCAGTATCAGAAACTTACAACCAGTGATCAAAATGGCCTCATCATTGTCTGGATGCTTTACAAAGGTGCACATTCCCATAAATAATAATCTAGAAAAGAATGAATTAAATGCCATTCAAAATATGTGAGACTTTCTTTTTTTTTTTTTTTTTTTTGGAACAATATAAGAAGATATTTAGAGAAATGTTTTCTCAGTTGTCCTAATTGTACCTTTTATTTTTTTCCACACAAAAGCAGTTGTTAAAGATGACTTCATCATGTTCAATATAGAAGTGAATAATTACCAGCATTATCAGCAACTTTTTTATTATTATTAAAAAGATGCAAAAGTATTACAGAATATTGCAAATTGTAAGTCTTGTAAGTTTGACATATGGCCTGACACATAACATAACATAACATAACATAACAACATAACATAGGTGTCAGTGGAAAGTGTTATTTTTAACAACAATGCAGACTTCCATTCCATGAGACTATTAATTTTGCAGTTCAGTCTGAATTTTTTAGTTAACACTTAATCAAAATATGCAACAAAAAAAAAAAGTGTGTAGATTGTTTTAAATTTTTGTTTTTGTTCGAACTCTATTCTATACCTGGCTGAAAAAAAAAAGTTAAAATTACTTTTCTTTTTTTATGGAATTTTTAATAATATACCTTTTTGTAATATACTTACTGTAATAAACAAATATGTATTTATAGGTGTGCATTTTAACATCTTACATATCAAATATGCGCTCCAAGCCTTTTCTTGATTGAGACATGTCGAATTCTTCTTTTATCATTTGCAGGGATTCCAAATAGCTTTTATCTGTTTTATCTATTATTTTCTGTTAAGCTGCTTCTGACCATGACCTGTCCACACTAAATGGTTATAAGAGACATGTTTATATACAGGGATTCAAGGGAGTATATACAACAGCCTTATTCTCTTATGTAAGGAGAGATATCCAAGGAGAGATAAGTATTATACTTGGAGGGGAAATATGCTTTGTGCATTATACAGCTTGACGCATCAGAATCGGTACTCCGTATCAGCCGATTGTCATGACAAGGAATCGGTTCTTGGTATCGGCTGCAAAAATCCTGATCGGAGCATCCCTACTCTACTTTAAAAGCTTAATGTTGGTTGCTATTAACTGCTAATACATTGAATAAAATCTTCTGTTTTCTGAAAAAAGAACATATGACATTAGAATGAAATCAGGGTGATGATAAAACAGTAATTTTTGGCTTATCTGCCTCTTTATTAATGTGCAGCTCTGTGTTTACTTTACAAATATTGACAAACAGGTTCATGGTATGAGGAAATGATCAATAACAGGAATAAGTCTGTGGTGAGGAGCATGAGCTGGAATGCTGATGGTCTGAAGATCTGCATTGTGTATGAGGACGGTGCTGTGATTGTGGGCTCAGTGGATGGTAAACATTAATATAATCTTACTAATAGCAATACTATATATTTTTTTCCCAATTTGATTTATGTCAATTGATTGTATTATTGTATTTTAATGGAAGCAAAGCCATTCAGATGTAAATATGTAAATTTTTGTGTGATTTATTTATTTTATTTTTTTTAAGAAATATATATGTAATTATAACTTTGTTTTCTCACAGGCAACAGGATCTGGGGTAAAGAACTGAAGGGGACTCAGTTGGCACACGTGGCCTGGTCTCCAGACAGTAAGATCCTGCTGTTTGGCATGGCCAATGGAGAGATCCACATCTATGACAACCAGGGGAACTTCATAGTGAGTGCTGAGATGCTAGAAACACTACTTGTTTTTGTTGTCGTCATCATTGTCATTATTATATATCTTGATGTCATTCTTGATGAGTCATTGAAACTAGACAAACATATTAGTTTGGTTATTGGCTCCAATTTTTATCAACTCTGTTTGCTGTCTAAAGTCAAACATTTCTTATACTCCACCACACTAGAGATGGCTGACCATGCATTTATTACGTCACGGTTAGACTACTGCAATGCACTTTACTGTGGCATCTCAAAATCAAAAACTTCTCATCTTTAGTTGATTAAAAATGCTGCTTCTAGTGCTAGATTTATTTGTAATAGCAGGAAATATGACCACATTACACCTCTTTTAAGGGGCCTCCATTGGTTGCCCATCCATTTCAGAATTGTTCTTAAAGTACTTTTACTGGTACACTGAAAAAAATGTTGCATGCAGAACTGTTGCAAACAATTTATTTGTGTTGAATATAAACAAACAAATTAAGTTTAATAATGTTCAACTTAATTTGTTTGTTTAAATTCAACACAAATTGTTTACAACCACCTTACGTAAAAAAATTGAGTCATCTCTGAATAATTTTTTTCAGTGTATATAAATTCCTTCATAATCTAGCCCCAACCTATGTCTTAGAGCTGTTCTATTCTTACACTCTGGTAAGATCTCTCAAAGTGATCAAAATCTTCTTTTAGTTCCTCAGTCCAGACTGAAACATAGAGTGGACAGAGCTTTCTTAATGGCAGGTCCGCAGCTATAGAACACTTTGCCCCTTGAGATTAGAATGGCTCAATCTCTATCTATTTTAAATCACTACTAAAAACGTTCCTGTTCAGCTTGGCCTTGTAATATTACTTTAATAGTCTTTTTTACTGCTTCATTCTTAAATGTATTCAGTTGTTTTTCTTGGTTTATTTTTGTTTTTATAATCTGTCTCTTTATTTGACTTATGTACAACACTTTGGTCAGTTATGTGGTTTTTTTTTTTTAAATGTGCTTCATAAATAAATGAACTTGAACTTATGTTTCTGCCCAGATGAAAATGAGCATGAGTTGCTTGGCGAATGTGACTGGTGCTCTCAGTATAGCAGGTATCCACTGGTACCCGGGTACAGAGGGTTATCTGGAGCCAGAGTGTCCCTGTCTGGCTGTTTGCTTTACTAATGGCCACTGCCAAGTAATGCGGCATGAAAGCGATGACAGTGAGTGTTTTTTGTCCATGCTAATTGGCTTACAATGCATTCTAATACAGATCTGAGTATAAAAAGAGAAGGAGATAATAAACATGAAGTTATTAATTGTGTGTAGGTCCTGTGATCATCGAGACAGGTATGTGGAATGTGGCCAGTATCCAGTG